ATAGGATATATAAGGATATATATGATTATATCGATTTTGACACTTCTTCCAGCATTATACCATTTAAGGGTCAGTATTGTTTTGGCTATGCATCTCAAAAGATGGAATGGGATGGGGTGAGTGTTGGCAGGTGACAGAGCCTGTTTCACTGACTGAAATGGTCCCTGGTGTGGTCATTTGTGTGGGATCTGACTCATCTGACATCAGTTGTCTGAAAAACCTCGATGAGTTTCTTCTCTAGTGTGTGGAGAGAAACAGGCACTGCCAGAGGTCACTGATACTCATTTAATGCTCACCCATTAGCAGTAGGTGCTGTACAGAGACTCAGGTGTCTGAGGCAAAGAGCAGAAGAGTGGTCAGTGTGACCAGAGCCCATGGAGAGATGGGAGAGAGCTCTTCTGTGGGGCAAGACTTATCCAGGGGGCATAGAAATAAGGACTTCTCTCCCCTGCTAGAGATCTGGGGCCATAAAATATAAAACTGGTCAACAACAGTGGGGGAGGAGGGAAATAAAAAAAGGAAACCATTTCAAACAGAATAGTCTAGGCAGATTTTGCTACAGAGCAACACTGTTTGACCTGCTCCACTTTTCTTGCCAGCATATCCAGTGCATTATCTTTGGGCACCACTTTCATAGATCAGAGATAAACAGAAATAAACATCTTCTTTTACACCAATTCTCATTCAGAGTGACTTTAAGAGTAATGTCATGTCTCTTTCTTATTACACAGAGATTTCTTTCAGTGATGAAACTATTTTTTTTCCTCTTTATTCCACTAATATTCCCATTCCCTTTCTTAAGCTGCAGTTGTTATCAGCTTCCACTTTCTACACACCATGTCCTTTTCCCTTGTTTATTTATTTTGCTACTGGAGCTTCACTGGGTCTGAATTAACATTGCTTTAGGACTATTACATAACTCACAAAAGTCAACTTTAGTAACATTCATTCTTATCTTTTTTTCCTCTTTATTCCACTAATATTCCCATTCCCTTTCTTAAGCTGCAGTTGTTATCAGCTTCCACTTTCTACACACCATGTCCTTTTCCCTTGTTTATTTATTTTGCTACTGGAGCTTCACTGGGTCTGAATTAACATTGCTTTAGGACTATTACATAACTCACAAAAGTCAACTTTAGTAACATTCATTCTTATCTTGAGTAATAAGTAATTTTTTTTGGAATAGGAAGGCACTATTGGCTAATTCCATCCATTTGCTTTGATATCACAGCATATAAATAAGCATGGATTTACAGGTTCACCATCAGGCTCTTCTGACACTTGACTTCTCTTCCTCAGCCTCCAACCATGGAGCTCCTGGGAACGACCACTATTTTGTTGCTGATATGCATCTCATGTCTTCTTCTCTTTGCCACACAGAGAAGCACATCACATAAAGGGAAGGAGCCTCCCGGTCCCATGACATTCCCCATTGTTGGAAATATACTCCATCTGAACCCACGGAATGTGCCTGAAAGCTTGAAGAAGGTAAGGGACTGTCTCCTTCTTTCCTATGTTGTCTTCATTGCACATAAAATGAAGTCCAATCCCAACTGTCTCAGTTTAATTCACATGTTTAATTTGCATTGACCAAATGTTAGACTCAAAGAGGTTCCCCAGATATACTTGCTTCTGAAGTCTATATATTGCAATAATCTGTATATCTAAATCTTTATATTGCAAGTCAGTCTGTATCTTTGCAATGATCATACTAATGCTAAGTCCTGCGCTGACTTCACAGCTCACTGCAAGTTACAGTGGGTTTGCAATCAAGGCACTGATGCTATTGCAATATTCACTATAATCCTCCTGTGCCAAACTCCTCACCATGGTGATGAGGCCTGGCCCAACTGATCACCATGCTGGCAACACAGCCTGGACCTTTTTTGGGGAGAACCTTGGTCCATTTTGCTGCCTCTGCTCCCTAGCAGAAGATGTAGGGTCTCCTGGGAGTGGAAGTAGCAAGTGAAGGAATTGAAGCAAAAAAGTTCAGAAGTGAATTGTGCTGTCCATTCTCTCCCCTGGCTGATGTCACCCAACCCTGTGTGTTGCAAGGCCTGGGAGATGACAGGTGTAAAGAGTTCAGCTGGAGCTGTTGCTTATGGAATTGTGAGGGGATAATGGCAGATGTATGGGAAGGGTGGGTGTCCCTGGGTTCTTCAGAGCAAAACTGTGATGATGGCCAACATTATTGTGTGTATTGTTAGATGCACAAATATCCATATGAGCTCCTTTTCGCCTTGGTGCTTGTGAATGTTGAGAACCATGTACATCCTCAGGCATTCTGCTGAGTTTCAAGCACTAAGTGATTCAGTTTCCCACGATAAAAAAACCTGTGTTCATGTCTAGTTTGGTTTTTAAAAGTATGAGGAGTGTTCCAGATCAGACCAAGTAGTCCAAGAAACTGCAGCTG